GTGTGCATGTTATGTTATAGGGTAATGATGCTGGAGTTGCTTTTGTTGTTACATATTATTGTTTATTATCATTATTTGCAATGAATTGTAGTTGCTAATATTGTTTTTTGAACATTTTAAATTGTTCTCATCAAGAATGATCCACTACCATACATGATGATTTATTGGTATTTGGTAAGGAATTAATATTCGCAATTGGTAGTTTAATGAACAAATCGCCAATATAAAAATTTACCAATTAACTTTCTAAAGGCAAATTTGCCAAATATTACTCTCGTCAATAAATCATCTTGTACAATATGTAATATGTGACCATAATTGACAAAAGGTACCTTATGGCGGGTAGTGAAATTTGTCTTTCTAGCCTATGAAATCCAACTTCCTGAGCCCCATTTATCATAAAATTACTCCACAGGATGCAAAAAGTTACCATGAAACTTTTAGAAACAATGATTGTCTAACAAAGCACTCACAGGTTGATATTTGCCATTATTAAGATCAATTTTAAAATCCGCCATAAGGGCCCTTTTGTCAATTATGGTCACATATTATTTTTATCCATTTTCCATAAATACTCCAGCATTCAGCATTCAAAAGTATATGTATTGTCTGTATAGCAATCATTGTATGGTGTTTTACCTATGAAATTTAGTTCATCTTAAACTCTTTCCACTTCAAATCCTTTCTTTCTTCAATACTGGTATTACTGTCAATATTGAGTTCCAAGGCATTCAGAGAAGAGAGGAGTTCCTTTGATCTATCATCAATTAGTGAAGCCATCAACAATTCATCTCTCACTAAACTAATGTTTGAATGATTGACAAAGTTAGCAGAAATGGCTAAAGATGCTTCTAGATTTTCGACCTGTAATAGAAATGGATTTGTCACATGTCCATAGAGCAAAAATTGTAATTAGAACACGCCCAAATTGCAATAATATCACTCTTTTAGAAAATGAAACCGAAATTAGGGACTAATTTTTGGAAAGAACCATGGGCTACTGACATTGCTTTTTTAAATTGGCTTGTTTTTTAAAATGCTCATAACACAAAAAGTAGTTGTTGGAATCAGTTTCTACATAGCATAAGGACATCAAGCATATCAGAAAATGTAATTAAAATTAGGGGTAATTTTGAAGCCAATTTATGAAAACGGCCATAACTCGAAATATATTTGTTGGAAACAGCTCAAACTTGCTACATAGCACAAAGACATCAATATGCATTAGAAAATGTAACAAAAATCTGGGGTCATTTTTGAGCCATTTTTTGAAAAAAAAAGCATGGGCTATAGCCTTTGCTTTCTCCAAAAATTTGCTGATTTATGAAAATGGACGTAACTTTAAAAATATTTGTTGGAAACAGCTCAAAATTGCAAATGCTATATAGCATAAGGACATCAATGTGCATCAGAAAATGTAATAAAAATTTTGAGTGGTTCTGAGCCATTTTTGGAAAAATCCATTGCCTTTATAGCCTGAAACTTGGCTCATTTTAAAATCCTCACAACACAAACAATTCTTATTTTATTAGAATCACTACATAGCATCTACATACCATAAGGAACATAAGTTGATGGCCTAATTTTTTAATAAATATTACCCCAAATCATACCAGTGTACGCAGCTAATTTTCGGATACTTAGGGATGGTATACGCCATGGTATCAATAGGAGTATTAGGGTTTATTGTGTGGGTGAATCACATGTTCACAGTGGAGATGGATGTAGATACTCTGGCTTATTTTACTGCAGCAACAATGATTATTGCAGTGCCGACAGGGATCATTATCATAATCTTTACTTGATGTGGTGAGCCTGCTGGAACAAACAGAACCTCTCCTGGCTCAAGGATGCATTCCATTGGATGTGTCATTGCAACCAGAGGATAATCCCCTTTGCTGTTCTCCCCACTATCCTCCAGTGAGAGGTTAAATACTGGATCAGATGAATGAAAGTGATACTGTGGATACAAACAAGGTACATCTTCAGGTGGGAAAAATAACCACCTAAAATTAAAAACATTTGTGGAACGTAATGACTAGTGCAGTTCTTACCTTTTTCTTCCTTCAAATAATGCCATCCAAAAGTTGGAACCAAAAGTGTCCACATGAAGTGAACTGGTAATTCCAGCTGGAGCTATAAAGAGACTGGGCCAGCTGTCCCTGTACAGTGAACCTGGAGGAGTCCTTTGTAGATAATCGTCTGAGAAATATCTTGGAATAAGTAACTCATTGACTAATTCAGAACAATACAAAGGGATACTCCAATCAAATAAATATCTTTTATCACCTGTTTTGATAATCAAAACAATTTATAACAAAATACATCCTTGTCTAACTTTCCTTTCTTTTGACGGCTTCAATAAAATCTGATACTGTTGAACGGCCACATGATTCAAGTTTTGCCCATTCAAAACCATCAGAGACTGACTTATGTAATGGAGCTACTTTATGACCAATAGCCTAAAAAACAATATAAACTAAAACTATAAACTATAATAATATTACTTTTTTAATATGTTCAAGGTCCCATTTAACAGTTGTTGTTTTTAGGCCAGTGATTATCAGTGGGGTGTGGCTCATTGCATAATGATGGAAAAACTCATTAACACTGAGGTCAGAGGCATCTCTTCTCTCAACCTTTAAATGAATAAAATCTAATTTAAAAACAACGATTTTTAATTACCTTATTTGTTGGTGGTAATTCATAACATGTTTAGTGCTTTTCTTTTAGAGCCGATAATAATTTCTCTTGACCTTGTAAGATATTGTGTTGTTTCTCTATCAGTTTTGCTGTCCATTTTGCATCATTGCTAACAGACTGAGGATCAGTATGAGCAAGGTAATGCTGCATGTGGTTCATTGCTTCATTAGTATCACCAAGTAAATACCAGCAAAGAGCCAGTTCCCTTCTATTCCTATCGATATCTTTTTGAAGGTGATCAATACGTAACTTTAGGAACTGCTTGGCCGATGACCGATGGCAGCCTGCATAAAGATTAAAAAAATTAAACAAGCAAATCCTGTACTTAACTTGAGTATGTGATTAAGTAAAGTCCTGGGGCTCCCTTTTCTTTTCTTGCACTCTTCTTTTCCACCATTTTGCTAGCAATGATCTTATGTCCATATTATGATCCTCATTCAGGCCCGTAGCCAGGGGGGGGTTCGGGGGGTTCGGACGAACCCCCTGTTGTAGCTGCAAAAAAGTTTTAGATTAGCTCCTGTCATGAAGAACAGCACTGCAAAAGCAGGATTAGCATTTTGGCAACAGCGAGAAGCACAGATAGCCATTTTAGCTGAGTCAGCACATGGCTGATATGCGTAAATTAAGACCACGCCTACCAACCACGCCCATTTTCGTCAAAAATTTCGCTGCGCGCTGCGCGCGCAGCAAGTTTCGAACCCCCTATTTTGAGTTCCTGGCTACGGCCCTGTCATTACAAGCTAACTGTATTTCATCAGGAGAAAACACTAATGATTATAAATGTATTTAAAAAAAATAAACCAAATCTAATACCAGAGGAAGAATAAAAGTCTTTCTCTAGTTCGTATTTCTTCTTATACAGCTCTTCTATAGTACTAATGATGAATCAAGAGGCTGAGAAGGTGGTGGCCATTCATTTATGAAGTCTTTTTCAAGCGCCATGACACAGCACCATAGATAATAGAGTAAATGATTTACTTCATTTACTCTAATTAATTCTTAATGATTAATTAATGATTAATTCATTTACTCTAATATCTATGACAGCACGTGGGTAGTCAGCCCCACCCCTGCAGCAATAGCTCCGGCTCCTTTCTGATTGGTTGGATTAAAAGCGTAACTATGGGATAACTATAATTCAAAATAACACACTACACAGATGGGTAATGTCATTTCCTTTTCCAGTAGCAGTGACGCTGTGAAGCCATTTACTCGTTCAGCATCAAATCAGTATGATACATCATCATCATCATCATTAATCTGTTGTAAGAAGAGACGTGTTCGTCCAGCAAATTCTCAAAATCCCGCATCACATAAAAAAGTTGATCGCAATGAAATCAGTCGTCATTTGGCTGCTCCTGCTCTATTGCTTGTTAACATAGGATCAGCTACAGAAAGCAACAACAATAACAGATCTATCAATATCGTAGATTGGCATCTAAACTTGAATGAAAACCCAGCAATTGAATGTAATTCATCTCACAACATTGCAATGTCATTACAAAGAGAAGATACATTAGTTCAAGATGACAATAGTGCTGTACCAGCTGAAAATGAATTTACATCCCAATGTTTAAGAATCTGGGATCTTGAAGACTTTGAAGGAGATCATTTATCACAAGACAATGAGAATCAGTGTGGTACCTTGCAAGAATATAATGTATTAGAAACAATAAAGACTAGTAAAGAGATTGTGCACGTGATAATTTCTGATGATGAAGAAGAACACTCTCTTGCTAAAGATAAGGACACATGCATTAATGGAGTGGAAAGGCCAATAATATTAAAAAGAGATGACTATCTTGAAATTGAATCACTGACAAGTGAAGACTCTGTTGATGTGTATTCAATGAGTGAAGAGTCATTTGATGTTGAAGCCTCTAATGAAGAGTCACCTGAAGATGAAGATACAGTCTCTCTTAATAATGAGCAAAAAGGTGTAGTAGGGAGAGAGCAAACACTCAAAAGACAATTAAAGAAAATACATACTAATGCCAAGCATCTCAGCAGGGCT